GCTTTGGAACCAAACCGGACCATCCGAGATTTGATTCCAGCTCGATGCAGATCTCTTCGATATGAGAAGCAAGTGATGGGTTTGGTCTGATCAGAGCCAATACAGCTTTTCTCATCTTGGAGAGAGTGATTCTTGAACTAAGATTGCCTTCCTTAATGTCAGCACATATCTCTCTCCAGATTTCTTCGAAAAAGGAGAAAGCTTGGACTATGGTGTAGGAAAAAGCAGAGGCGGCAAACTCTACCTGGCTGGAGAAATAAAGACCAAGTAGGAGATGACAATACGTGCACTGCCCGAAATCACCTCCTGAGATGACCTCTTGTGGGCTACAAGTGAAGGACTTTGTCGTCTCTTGCTTAGTTTTAAACTCTTTGCTTGCATAGTAATGTGTTGTGGCCGTTCCCACTGTCAATCCTCCTAGCGTCTTAAACTCCTTACCGGCGTATATAAACTCAAGAATCCTCCCACCTTCCCTTATTGGATAAAACCTTTAAGAAAAAGCATAGTAAGAACTGGTGAGCTAATGAAGAACACTCTAATGGAAAAGAAAGAACAAGAAATGGAAAGAAACCTTGATCTGTAAGCTGCTGATAGTCTAAAAATCTGAAGAGTGGTTTGCGAACTATGGCGAGTAAACGGAACATACTTTTGTCTCCCTTCTGTTGTTCCAGAGCTGTGTCAAAAAAGAGCGAAAAGGGATCAAGAGAGAACATATACCACACATGCACACAAATCCAAAGATGTATAAGGAAATATAAATACCTGAGGGACAGAACGGTGATGGGTTCTTGTGTGAGTAAAGGAGAAGTCTCTCCATCTGCAATTCTTTGAATATAAGGATCCAAATCAGCATGTGAAACAATAGGCACCAAGGAAGTAAAGAGAGTTTCCAAGGTGCAATCGTCTATCTTTTCCACATCAAGAGTCCCTAGCCATTTCTTCAGATACTCCACTCCAGAGTTAAGCTCAAGAATCCGGCGTAGCGTCTCGCTTTGGACCTTACAGGCTTTCTCCGACACACACTCGAACCAACCAATAACATCATCATACCCAACCTCTGAAGTCTCCATTCAAGATTAAAACCTTTTAAAGGCACTATTGCATCTCAGGGATGCAAAATGAGTACAAGTCTTAACCCAACATATAAGGGAGTGCTGGTCATTGACCAACTCTCTTTGTCTTGAGACAAAAAAGTTCTGATTTTTTTCTTTCTGGTGTATTATTGTTCTCACCTTTTTGGGTCTTCCTTATTTGTTGTCTTTTCAATATGAAAAAACATCTCAGATACCTCCATAAATGTCACGGCCATTACCGTCCACATGTTACATCTTCACTTATTATAGCTATAAATGCAATTCCACAGGTCCTGGTCACCAAAGAGTATCACAGTCTCAACATGTGCTCCAGGAAGAAACCTTAACCACAATATCATCCACTGTGGTCCCATGAAAATATCTCTGTCTCCTAAAAATCAGAACCCCTTCATCTTATTAGAGCTCTTTCAACTCCTGTTCCTGTAATAATTCAGTGAACATAGCCAAGTTTATGCCAAAGATTCAATCCAAGAGAGCTCAGAAACACCGATTTCCGAGCAGTCTAGCATTACAATATCTTAGTTCTTCCTAAAATGTGGCTAAACCTTGATGTGCCTTTCTCTGCATATATCTGGACAAGCATGTATATGACCATACGAAAACTCATCACATGTTGGACAAGATATTTTCTTGGTCAGGCTAGGCTTGCTCTTCCCTCAGCCTCAACATTTCAACAGGTCCACCACCACTTTCAATGGACCAAACAATAACGTCTCTTCACTCTCTTTCTCTCTCACCTAATTTCCGTATACGCACAAACTATCCATCGAGGTTTGTACGTCAACCAATCTTTTAGCCTTTTCCCACTCAATATCTTGAAATGTTATTAATTCTCTAAACAACTTATCAAGATCTGTAGAGGAAAGGACTGGGAAAGGACTGGCTGCACGTTAGTTTCAATATAAAACCAAAAACAGAAACTTCAACAGCTCTTCTCACCTCCAAGATGCCATACAAAAAAAAAAAAAAACGTGGGCGGTTCATCAACAGTCTCTGAAAAATTCAAAGCTATCAAAGTACCAAACTTTAGTCATGGAAAATGTTTCTAGAAGCAAATGTTTCTAGAGCAGTGTCTTAGAATGCAACACACGGAAAAATCGAGGTTGTTCCCTTACAGAAGCATCTATCAAAACTCGGCTTAATAGATCATATTGTTATACAATCTTGCAGAGTCTCCAATCACTAAACTATATGCATGATGCAGAACCTGAAAGTCCCTTCTCATCGC